CACGGCCGTCTTCGCCGCCTCCGCAGCCTGCTGCTGTGGAATCTGGAGCTGAGACTACTGGAGCTGGGACTGGGGGTGGTGAGTCCGGGGGTGCCCGCTCTCCTCGTCTGGCTACCCCCCCCGGGTTCCCACCTCTGCCGTCTTCGCCGCCTCTGCAGCCTACTGCTGTGGACACTGGAGCAGAGACTGAGGGTGCTGGGACTGAGGGTGCTGGGACTGAGGGTACTGAGCCTGAGGGTGCTGGGACTGAGGGTGCTGAGACTGAGGGTGCTGAGACTGAGGGTGCTGGGACTGAGGGTGCTGAGCCTGAGGGTGCTGGGACTGAGGGTACTGCGACTTTGGGTGCTGACTCTTGGGGTGCTGAGACTTCGGGTGCTGACTCTGGGGGTGCTGCGAGTCCTTCTGGAGGTCCTGGAGCTGGAGGTACTGGAGCTGCTGCTGGCGCTGGAGGTGCTGGAGCTGGAGGTACTAGAGGTGCTTCTGGTGCTGGAGGTGCTAGAGCTACCACTACTGGAGGTACTGGAGCTGGACAGCCACCGCAGCCTGCTCTACTTGAGACGCTCTCGCCGCAGGCGATTTGTGCGTGGGTCGTTCTGCGAGGCAGTCCTGGTGGTGGAGGGTACGGTCCTGCTGGTGCTGGAGCTACTAGTCCAGGAGGTGCTGCTGGTGCTGGAGGTGCTGGAGGTACTACTGGAGGTACTAGAGGTGCTGCTGGTGCAGGAGGTACTAGAGCTGCTGGTGCTGGGGGTGCTCGAGCTGCTGCTGGTGCTGGAGGTACTGGAGGTGCTGCCGGTGCTGGAGGTACTGGAGCTGGAGGTACTGGAGCCGCTGGTGCTGGAGGTACTACTGTTACTGGAGGTGCTGGAGCTACTGGCACTGGAGGTGCTGGTGCTACTGGTGCTGGAGCTGCGGGGGCTGCTGACCCTGGAGGTGCTGGTGCTGCTGGTGCTGGAGGCGTTGGAGCTGGAGGTACTGGAGGTGCTGGAGCTACTGGTCCTGGAGGTGCTCGTACTGGAGGTGCTGGAGCTGCCGGAGCAGGTGGTACTGCTGGTGCTGGAGGTGCAGGAGGTGCTACTGGAGCTGGAGGCACTAGAGGTGCTGGAGGTACTACTGGTGCTCGAGGTGCTGGCGCTGTCGGAGCTCGTGGTGCTGGAGGTGCTGGTGCTACTGGTGCTGGAGGTGTTGCTGGGGGTACTGGAGAAGCTGCTCGTGCTGGAGGTACGGGAGCTACTGGTGCTCTTCGCCACCTTCTCAGTCTTCCGCCAGGTGCTACTGGCTTCCCTGTGGCATGTACTACTCCTCCGTTGCTGTGTCCACCGGCGGACCAGTCATAGCCACCGCTGCTACCACACTCCCCACTGCCTGCTCCTGCTCCTTACACTGCGGTGTCAGAGTCCTTGATTGAGCGTCGAGAGCCTGAGACTCGTGCGTCCACCCCTGAGCGTCGAGAGCCTGTGTCTAGCTTTGAACTTGAGCCTGAGCCTAGAGCTGCTGTCCGTGCTCGTGTTCCTCGTGTTCGTCGTCCGCGTGCTCCGGCTGTCCCCGGCACTCACGATATGACACTCCGTCCTTCCTCTGTTCCTCAGCGTGTTGCCCTACCGTTACCTCCTGCGTCCTCTCTGCCTGACGTTGCTGACCCTCCGTCTGATCTTGCTCGTGCGTCCAGTCCGACTGTTACTCGCCTTCTTGCTACGGTTGTGACGGACCCTACGTTCTCGTCTCCTGCTGCGTCTGCCCTCGTAGCTGAGATCGTTGACTTTGCTGCTGTGTACCGCCTAGACTACCTTGCGAGTCTTGTCTCTGACCCTGTCCCTGCCTGTCCTCCGTCTGTCGGGGGTGAGACTGCTCTTGGCTGTACTGCCCTTGGCTGTGACGTTCTTGAGGACAGTCAGGAGGAGCTGGAGTGCCTTGCTGCCGCTTCACCCCATCACGCGACCATGCTGCTTGCCCCTGAGGGAGACCCGGATGCACTTGATATCCCCACCCCGCGCTCCTACAGGGAGGCGATTTCGGGTGAGTACTCCTCTCAGTGGCAGACAGCCATGGACGCAGAGATGGCTTCCTGTAAGTCCACAGGCACCTACGTCAACGAGGTTCCCCCACCTGGGGCGAACATCGTCAGTGGCATGTGGATTTTCAGGGTGAAGCGGCCGCCGGGTTCTCCGCCTGCCTTCAAGGCACGTTACGTTGCTCGAGGCTTCAGTCAGCGTGAGGGGGTCGACTTCTTTCAGACCTTCTCCCCCACCCCGAAGATGACTACTCTTCGGGTGTTGCTACACGTTGCAGCTCAGCGTGACTACGAGCTGCACTCCCTCAACTTCTCGACAGCTTTCTTGCAGGGTAGCCTTCACGAGGCCATCTGGTTGCGCCGTCCACAGGGCTTCACTGGGTCGCTTCCTGAGGGTACCTAGTGGAGCCTACGGCGACCAGTGTACGGCCTGCGTCAGGCGCCCCGTGAGTGGCACGACACACTGAGGACTACACTTGCGGCTCTTGGGTTTGCTCCTTCGACTGCTGACCCGTCGCTGTTTCTACGCACCGACACTACTCTGCCGCCGTTCTACATCCTCGTGTACGTCGACGACTTGGTTTTTGCTACTGCTGACACTGAGGCACTGACCCTAGTGAAGGCGGAGCTGCAGGAGAGACACACCTGCACTGACCTGGGTGAGCTGCGGAGCTATCTTGGCTTGCAGATCACCCGGGACAGAGCACGGCGCACCATCACCCTGACTCAGTCACGCATGGTGCAGCAGGTCCTTCAGCGCTTCCGCTTCACGTGGTCCTCGCCACACTCCTCTGTCTACCGGCCACTCGCTCTCAGCTCCACCTTCTGACGAGTCCGTAGAGCCGAGTGGTTCGTACCCAGAGCTTGTGGGTTGCCTCATGTACCTGATGACGTGCACACGACCTGACCTTGCGTACCCTCTCAGCCTCCTGGCTCGCTACGTGGCACCTAAGGTGCACTTTGATGCTACGAAGAGGGTACTGCGTTACTTGTGCAGCACATCGGGCATGGGGCTCGTGCTTGGAGGACGGGGTTCGGTGGTCCTCACAGGACACTCTGACGCTTCTTGGGCCGACGACCAGACGACTCAGCGTTCGTCACAGGGTTACACCTTCAGTCTTGGCTCTGGTTCTGTCTCGTGGAGGTCCACTCGTTCTTCTTCTGTGCTTGGTTCCAGCTGTGAGGCCGAGATCTACGCTGGGGCCATGGCTGCACAGGAGCTACGCTGGCTGACCTACCTGCTGACCGACTTGGGGGAGCGACCTCGTTCTCCTCCAGTTCTGTACGTCGACAACAAGGCAATGCTTGCCTTGTGTCGCGAGCAGAGACTGGAGCACCGAACTAAGCATATTGCTCTTCGCTACTTTCTTGCACGTGAGCTGCAGCAGCGTGGTCAGCTGCGCCTTGCTTTCGTGGCCTCTCGGGCCAACACTGCTGATGTCTTCACCAAGGCCCTTGGGTCTGGTAATCATCACCGTTTCTGCACTGCTCTTGGGCTTGTGCCCACTCTGCCTCACCTGCTGGTTGCTTGACTTTCTCTTGTTGTACACTGCTATATATCTTATACCTGCATGTTTTCTCTTGCTAGGTTGTGATCAGTGTACTGCCTTGCTATTATATACCTCTGCATGTGAACTGGCCTTGTGGCCACTTGCTTGTGCTCAGAATGCGTGGTGACTTTATGATCCACCCTGAGCTGTGTTCACTTCTGCAGACTGGTCTTGTGACCGCTTGTTGTGTTTGCTGTCCCCTACTTTGCCTATGGGGGTGTGTCAAATTACAATTGTATCTCTAGGCTACAGTAGGGTCACTCCTTAGTGAGTACAACACTTTAGGGTTAGGTTTCCCCTACTTGTACTCACCTCTTGCCTAGTTCACTCATTCATTCCTAGTTCTATTCTTGACACACAATGTCCTTGAAATGTTCCCTTTATGAACATTCAAAATATATTGATAAGTAGAGCTCGGGAATAGGCTTCGTTTCGTTACAGCAGACTTGAAATAACGTAAGAAATTGCTTGTCATTGATCGTCTCGAAGTTCCTTGGAGCCACCATGGCGGCGAGCTTGTCATTGTCAGCTGATGACCTCTTGACAAGGAGCATATACGGTATTGTTATTCTTGCCTCAATAGTGCAATATTTGTTAGCTCGCTCAATAAACAATCACAAATGTGTACAACTATTTCAGCTCGACAACTTCAGTGTACCTTCGATGATGTCGTATGAGCATTTTCCTAGATGTGTTGGTGGTGCCTTACCGCCGATCTGACTGCCTCCTTCCCTTTCCCCGCCCTTCCGCAGCAGCATTACCTCGCTCATCGTGCCGCGTATCACTTGATTCATTGCATCCTTCCCACCTTGCTCTTCGCAAATCCGAGATTCACTGCTCCTAGGCGCTTGTGCGTGAAGCAAGTACCCAGTAGCACTGATAACCAGGTTCGCGTTATGCTTGTTGTGACCACAGCCCCGATCGCGCGAGCATCATGCGCGTCGCCTTTCGACAATAGATCGCTCGCCACGTCATCCGCGCTATCGCTGCGCGTCCACTCGTTTGAGAGGCCTCCATCCGCTGCTCCTCCTGCCGACGAATCAGCGCCTTCCTCCGGACGGAATGAACGGCAACGAACGTGGCCCGCGCACAGCTCCTATTGGTCGAAAAGCATTTGCCCAAAGTAGAGGGCCTAGTGGGAGTGGAGAGCCTAGTCCGCGGTCCGGCCGATCCGAGCATGAGTGCGTCGCCGCCACTCGCTACAGTATCGTCGTCTCGCCACGGGCTGGTCCGATCACAGAAATGTGCGAGCGGGCCGTCGAGACCCCAGGCGCCGAGGGAGTACTTGAAGGCCCGTCGCTCCTCACTCTGCTACTCGCAGAATCGTTCTTTGTGACTTCTTCTCACTGCGCTACCAGCAGCTCCAGCAGTTCCAGCGGCGGCCACTGCTCTATCGCTGGTCAGGCGTGCCTTGACGAGCTCCCAGCAGCAGCCTGCCCCGCATGGCGTCCGCTCTGCGCCCCCTCGCGCTGCTCGCGCTCCTCCTCACCGCCGCCACGGCCGCCAATGCGGCGACGGTGGTGACGTTTAACCCCGACGGGTCGCTGACGTTCGACGGCTACACGCTGTACAGCAACCTCACGGTCGTCGACTCCAAGGGCGCGCCCGTCGCCGCCACGGCCAACGCCGACGGCTCGTACACCGTGGGCGCCGTGTACACGGCGTACCCCAACGGCACGCTCACGGCGCCGGGCGTCGCCGTCTACACGCAGCCGCCCACGGGGCTGACCGTTGGCACCACGACGCTGCTGGCCGACGGCACGGTGACGGACGCGACGGGCGGGCTGCTGTTCGGCTCGGTGAACCCCGACAAGTCGTACAGCGTGGGCGACGTGACGGGGTGGCCCAACGGCACGATCGTGGGCCCCGGCGGCGTGGTGGTGAACACCGGCATCCCCTTCGCCGTCGACCCCACCACCGGCATCGTCTCCGGCGCGCAGCCCCCCGCCGCCCCGCCTGCGCCTCCTCCCGCCGCGCCCGCGCCGCCGGTGAAGGTGAGCACGGTGATCACGATCAACGGCGACCGGTCGCTGTCGTTCGACGGGTACACGCTGCTCAAGAACCTCACCGTGCTCGACGCCTCGCGCGCCGTCGTCACGCCTGCCGCGAACGCCGACGGGTCGTACACGGTGGCGAGCGTGTACTCGGCGTACCCGAACAAGACGCTGACGGCGCCGGGCGTGACGCTGGTGTTCACCGATCTGATCAAGATCACGGTGGGCGCCACGTCGTTCTTCAGCGACGGGTCCGTGCTGGACGCGGAGGGCAACTCCGTGTACGGCACGGTGAACAAGGACGGGTCGTGGGTGGTGGGCGACTTCACGGGGTGGAACAACGGCACGCTGGTGGGCAGCAACGGCGCCACGATCCACACGGGGCTGCAGTACGCCGCCGACCCCTCCACCGGCATCGTCTCCGTACTCACGCCCTCGCCGCCGCCCGCACCCTCCTCGCCGCCTGCTCCCAGCAACTCCTCCAAACCTGCTGGTGAGTTTTGACTCCGGGATAAGCGGTTAAAGTTGCTGCATTGTGAGGTTCAAGAACATCTCCCAAGTTCCTTCATAAATTTTACCTGTGACTAGACCATGTCCGCAATGCACATCACAAGTGGACTTGCATTCGCTTTCCCCCTCCTGTTCCCCTTCTCCCCCTCATCCCACCCCCTTCCCCGCCCCCCCATCGTGCCATGCATGCAGTCTCGAGTGCGTCACCCAGCTTCGTGACTGCCGTCATGGCCCTCGCGGCTCCTTTCCTGCTCCTGTAAAGCCACTGTCTGGAGAGAGGAGGAAGATTCAGAACGGACGGAGTTCGTCCCAAGATGAATGTTAGGATCAGGTAGTTTCTCACTAAATCTGGTATTGCCACATTGAATGGAAACTCTGGTTTTGTGTTGTCCTGTGTTGTGTTGAGCCACTGAGGCAGCCACAAGTCACTACCCCGCATTCCCCCAGATAGTTTGAGCTGTCAAACTCAATTATATGCTGTTAACCCTCGAACCTAACCTAGCAACGAATACAATGTCTTCCGTACTGCCATGTACTGCCCCACGCGCACGCTGCCTCTAGCACGCTGTTTTTTGCGCCCCTAGTACTGCCGCGCGTGACCCACTGCCCCGCTGCCCCGCTGCCCAGCACGGCGCGCGCTGCACTGCTCGCCGTGCGGTGCTGCTGCGCGCTTCGCTGCTGCCCGCGCGCACCTGCGCCGCTGCCCCGCGTGCGCCTCTGCCCCGCTGCCCCACGCACTGATGCTGCGTGCACTGCTGCCCCATGCACTGCTGCCACGCGCGCAACTGCCCCGCTGCCCCGCTGCAACGCGCGCAACTGCCTCGCGCGCTGCTGCTGCGTGCACAGCTGCCCAGCCCGCTGCTGCTACGTGCCCCGCTGACCCGCGCCCCCCTGCTGCCCGCGTGCCGCCAGCAGCCGCTACAGCCGCCATTGCTCCAGCCGCCGTTGCTGCAGCTACAATCGCAGCTGCTACCGCTGCTACTGCAGCCGCTGCCACTGCCGCTCAAGCTGCCGCTACTGCCGTTACAGCTGCCGCCGCCCTTCTGCAACTGCTGCCTAAGCGCTACTGCTGCTCGTGCTGCCTGCCATGGCGACTGCCACTGTATTGACCTTTGATGCGGAGGGCTGCCCGATCGAGTATGAGTCCTGGCTAGAGGACCTTCACCTGTACCTGCAGAGTGTCACTAAGGATGACATCTCCCTTTATGAGCACACGTCAGGATCCCTTCAGGCCCCGTCTATCCTTACTGACCCTGGCCCGTCCGCTCCCGATAGTGCGCGACAGCAGTATAAGACTGATCATACTGCCTCTTCTCAGTGGCTCTCGCGCGACGCCACTGCTCAGCTTGCTGTCCGTAGCCACCTCCCGCTAGACCAGAGGCCCCACTTTCGCCAGCTGAAGACGGCCAAAGCGCTTTATGACGCTGCAGTTAAGCGCTACTCCTCCCGTTAACCCTATAGGCCGTCTTGTGCTACCGTTCCTCTTCCCGGAGCTGTCAGACTTCTCCACTGTAGCCGACCCCTTGACCCACCTGCGCTCCCTTGACACGCGCTACCGTGCTGCTCTCAAGCCAGCCTTTCTGGCTGAGAACCAGCCGCCCATGTATCTCACTCACTACTTCCTCACGACTCGCCTCCCCGACTCTCTTAGCGCTGTTCGCGCCACTTCCTCTCACTAGACACTACCGAACTCACCCTTGCCTCGTTTGAGTCTCGTCTCCTCGAGGCCGAGACCAGTGCCTGCGCTGTACATCAATGTACACCACCTAGACTAGCAAATACAAACTAATAATGATAGTTTGAAACATCCCCATAGTCTAGGTGACGGTAGTCCTGTGGAAAGCAACACACAGTCGAAGAGCAAGGGTCACAGGACCAGTTAGCAAGAACAACCAACGGTCACAAGAACAAAGCTCGGGGTGGATCTCAAGATCACCACACAGTCCGAGAACAAGCAAGAGGTCACAAGGCCAGTCCACATGCAATGACATAGCATATAGTGAGATGCGAGAGTACAAGACAAAGCATCTCTACGCAAGCAAGTGAGGGCCGGTAGACACAAAGCCTAGCTGGGTGCAGAAACGCTGGTGGTCACAAGGCAGCAATGCCTTGGTGAAGATATATGAAGTGTTGGCCTTGGAGACCACACGTCGCACAAGTGCCTGGCCACGCTGCTGCAACTCTCGAAGAAGGAAGTAACGGAGCTAGATGTGCTTCGCCTTCCCAACCAGTTGGGGCTCCTCGCACAACAGGACAGCATACCTGCTTTCGGCAACCAAGACTGGGGAGAGCGAGGCCGCTCACCAAGGTCGGTGAGGAGGAAAGTCAGCTAGCGAATCTACTGGGCGGACATGGCCGCAGCATACACCTCTGCCTCACAGCTGGAATTGGAGACGGACGACGCCCGAGTCGACCTCTGCGAAACAACTTCGATCCTAAGGCTGAAGAAGTAACCCTGCGTAGACCGCAGCGACTCATCGTCATCGGCCCACGACGAGTCCGAGAAAATTGTGAGTGTAACTGGCTTCTTCCCTCCAAGGACCAGTCCCATGCCTGATGTGCTCGCTACATACTTCCCCACCCTCTTAGCAGTGTACTAGTGGGAAGTTCGGTGTCTCCAAGGCGCAACAAAGCTAAGAGGGTAAGCTAGGTCTGGGCGAGTACAGATCATCAGGTACATGAGACAACCCACCAGCTCAGGATATGGACCACTGGACTCAAATGGCTTGTCCGAAGTTGGAGTCGTGAGTCCATGATCCACAACAGGAGGGGTGAACTGTACCTTGGAGAACGGGAAGCGAAACCGCGTGAGGATCTGATCGACCATATGCGACGCGTCAGCGTAATGGTGCGAGCTGCCCTGTCCCTGGTGATTTGCAGGCCAAGGTAGTGCTGCAGCTCACCAAGGTCAGTGCAAGTGTGTCTCCTCTGCAGTTCCTCCTTCACGAAGGCCAGTGCGCGTTGGTCGGGAGTGGCGAAGACCAGGTCGTCGACGTAAAACAGAACTAAGAACGGCGTTGAGCCACGATGGACGAAGAATGACGGGTCCACAGATGAAAGAAGTCAAGCGCTGCAAGAGTCGTGCGAAGTGTGTCGTGCCACTCAAGAGGAGCTTGACGCAGGCCGTAGACCGGTCGATGCAGCTGCCACTGCGTCCCAGGAGGGAAAGAGCCAGTGAAGCCAGGCGGGCGACGCAGCCAGATCTGCTCGTGCAGGCTCCCCTGAAGGAACGCTGTGGAGAACTCCAAAGAGTGTAACTTGTAGTCGCACTGAGCTGCGATGTGTAGCAACACCTGAAGAGTGGTCATCTTTGGGGTGGGAGCGAAGGTCTGGAAGAAGTCAACCCCCTCATGCTGACTGAAGCCTCTCGCCACATAGCGCGCCTTGAACACCGGTGGTGATCCAGGCGGTCGCTTCACCTTGTAGAGCCACATGCCACTAACGACGTTTGTCCCAGGTGGTGGGACGTCGTCGACGCAGGTGCCTGTAGACCTATACAGTACGAAGCCCAGGGTCCCGAGACAGCCTCGGCGTGAGTGCGAGGGATCTGGGTGTCTAGGGCGTCTGGTTCCCCCTCAGGGGCAAGCATCATAGCGCAGAGATGAGGAACAGCGGTCGCCAGGAAACCAAGCTCAAACTGGTGGTCCTCCAGGACGTCCAAGGGAAAATGAAGTAGGATGGTACGTCACCGTCTGGTCTCATGTCTCCCAGAGTCGCTCGCCTGCGCCGCCGTGCACTCCTTGCTTCGAGGTTCGGCAGCGCGCTGCCCCTCACTCCTCCTCGTTCCCCCCCACCACGGCTCCCTTCCAGACCCTGCACTTGGACGTCTGGGGCCCCTCCCCGGTCCTTGGCCCACGTCAGGAGCGCTACTTCCTGATTGCGGTGGACGACTACTCCCGCTACACCACGGTTTTCCCCTTGCGACGGAAGGCCGACGTGTCTACCGTCCTCGAACCGTGGCTACTAGCGAGGGGTGGCGCCCAGGGCCTGTGTGGGCTCCGCCTACACTCGGACCGTGGTGGTGAGTTTTCTTCCACTTGCCTGGAGACGTTTTTTCAGGGTCGGGGGATCATCCAGTCTTACACACTACCAGCCTTGCCGCAGCAGAACGGGGTAGCCGAGCAACGCATAGGCCTGGTCATGGAGGTTGCCCAGACCTCCATGTGCCATGCCGGTCCCCCCCAGTTCCTGTGGCCTCAGGCAGTCCGCTACGCCGGGCACCAGCTGAACTTGTGGCCTAGTGACGCATGGCCATGGGAGACGCCGGTCTTATTCTGGACAGGTTCTCCGGGTGTAGCAGCTCCTGGCGCGAACAAGTTGTCAACGCGCACCCGTGCCTGCGTCTTTCTTGGCTTCCCACTCGACGCCTCCGGCTAGCAGTTCTACGACCCGGTTACCTGCCAGTTCTTCAGTTCCCAGGATGTCACTTCCTTTGGACAGGGTCTCGAGGTGTAGCAGCTGACTACCGAGTCTGGAGCTCCCTGGCCCACGTTCGCGCCCCTGGCACGAACAAGCTGTCTTCTCACACACGTCCCTGCGTCTTCCTTGGTTTCCCCCTGGACGCCTCTGGCTGGGTGTTCTACGACCCACTCACCTACGAATTCTTCAGTTCCCAGGACGTCACTTTTGACGAGTCGGTGTGTTACTACAGGAGTCGTCCCCACCGAGGTTCTGAGGCGTTTTCCCCCCCCGCTATTCCTCACCCCGGTGCCCCCCCAGTCGCCCCGGTAGCCCCCCCCCCCCCCCCCCTTCACGTCCTGCCCCGTCAGGTATGTCACACGCCACACCGCAGTCGTCTCCCCCGCAGCGTCCGGTCCCTATCGCGTCTAGGGGTGCAGGAGGTGCAGCTGCGGAGAGTGAGGGTACTGGGGCTGCTGGAGCTAGTGATGCTGGCTCTAGGGGTGCAGGGGGTGTGGGGTGGAGGCCAGCCCTGTGGAGGACACGGCTGCCTCGAGTCGGCGCCCTTGCCCTGCCTCACCCCCTGGCTTCCCGTCCGTCCCACAGTTCCCTCCTTGTTCGCCTCTGTGGTCGGTTACTGCGGAGCCTGGGGGAGTTCCAGCGGGAGATACTGGAGGCAATAAGGGGGCTGCTGGCGGAGGTTCTGGTTCTGGGGGTGCTGGAGCCGGAGGCACTGGCACTGCGACACCTACACTGCGCACTATACGTTCAATGACCCGTGTGCAGCGTCTAGACCGGTTGGAGAAGGAGGAGCGGGAGCGCTTTGAGAGGGCACGACAGTAGCAGCAGCAGCAGCAGGCAC